AGATAGATAGATAGATAGATAGATAGATAGATAGATAGATAGATAGATAGATAAGAGGGAGAGAGAGAGAGACAGACAGACAGACAGACAGACAGACAGACAGACAAATTCCTTGTTGTCCAATAAAGAATACTATTCTATTCTACATACATACATACATTACATACATACATACATACATACATACATACATACATACATACATACATACATACATACATACATACTCTTAGTTGGGGAAAAAGGCGCTGGCGTCCTTTTGCTCTGAGTGGAGAGGAAAAAAGACTTGGGGAGGGGAAGCGCTGTTGATGAAGGGCGAAGCACCTGCTCCCACCAAACGCTCGGCTTTTAGAGTTCAACTCCATCCCGCAAGCTTCCCTTTCAGGGCAGATTGCACCCGAGGCTTTTCTTCCTGGGGGATACCTATCCGGGCATTTCCTTGAAAGGACGAAGAAGGCCGCCGCCTCTTTGAAGCTGGAGGGCGACAGCCCAAGAACACCCATCCATCTTCTCAACGCTGCGGCCCCGCTCCATCCCTAAGCCCGTTGACTCCGCCTGAAACCGCCTTGAACACAATGCCGCGTTTAAACCCAAGGCCGTGCTTAAACTCTTGGGTACCGTTTTGTGGGCTGCAGTTGTCCGATGCAGGCTTCCTCTTCTTTCCCATAGTAAGCGCGCCCGAAGTCGATGGGGCTTCTTCCTAAAATGTGTGCTTTTCAACTTCTTGTGCAAACTGCGTAGTTAGGCAATTGCTTCGCCGTCTGACTGATGCCTAATTCGGATTTACAATTCCTCCGCCTTGCCTCCCTTCTTACGCTCCGCCCACTTTCCTTTTCCTTTTCCAAAGGTGTTAAGATCAATGCTGCTCCAACTGCCTTTGGTTCGGCCAGCGTGGCTCCTGTTAGAGAAACTGAATTCGTTGGACACCGCCCGTCCTCCTTTCCTTGTTGACTCGCACGGGTTGAGCCCGCGGGGATTTGAGAGGCTTTGATTCAGGCTGGTCTTTGAAGCTTTTTCCTTCTAAAACGGCCCAACTAGCCAGGATTTACTATTTGATGCCTCTACGGGTCTTGCTTGGGCGTTTCTCGTATCTATAGGAGACGGTGTGTTGTGATTAGCGGGAAGGTATCAATAAAGATTCTTTTAATCAAAGAAGTAACGTCTTTCATTCCCCCCACCAGGTTCAATTCCTGACCCCCCCTCCTATTAAAGGAAGATACAATTTAACGATGTGGAGCTTTGGGGAGGGGGTTGTTTTAGATATATTTAATTCATCTTTAAACCTTCAGTTCCTCCACTGCGGCACAAGATGAAGGTTTGAGGAAGGAAGGAAGGAAGGAAGGAAGGAAGGAAGGAAGGAAGGAAACAAACGGATTGTAATGAAGAAACACCGCATGTTTTTCTGTTGGCACTTCAGCTATGGAAAGAATGACTTTATCAAGCTTCCCTTAAAAAAAAAAATGGAGATCAGGTTAGGTCTTGCGTGATCCACACCTCGTTTTTGTTTCTTTGTTTCCTGCTTTGACAAGGGACAATGGTCCGGGAGAAGGAAGAGCCCGAGAGAGCCAACAGAGGTACCCCTTTGATAGCTTTTCGCTTTGCTACCCTCGAGAAAGGCCCGGCAGCCTGTTATCTTTGTCCACCCTCCTGCTCCTTCTCTGGGTGGGGGAAATTCCCCAGCCGTCCTGCTCCAAAGGCCCACCGGAGATAGGAGACTCGGATCAATCAGCTCCCCGCGCTGGTGGGTCCCCTTGTTTTGAGATTTCTGTCCGGAGAGAGGTCAGTCCAGAAGCTGGCAAGAAGCTTAGAGTTTGGCGTTTTCAGGGGGCTAGAGCGAGCCGGTCTCTTTCAATGAGTCCAGGGGTGGGTGGGAAGAAAGGAAACATTTTCTACCTACGGTGATATAAAGGATTCCTGAGTCACCTTCGTGCACCACGAATGGGATATTTTCTTTTTCTACATGACGTCTCATATGACTTATTAACCTTAAGCGTGTGAGAGAAACGTCAACACAATTGTAGATGGGGTTTATAGTGAGTGTTCTACACGCGTGGAATCGGCTCTTAGCTCTGAAAAATCGAATTTCCCCTAGTTTACAGCTGCCTAGACCGGCGATCCTCCTTCTCCAAATATTAACTATACCTCCTAAGCTTTTCTTCCCTTGAAGCTCCGCCAAGACTTACTGGCAGGAAGGGCGTGAATTGGGGGAAAGGGAAAGAAGGTGGAGAAGATTCCTTTCCAACAAGCCGGCAGTTCTACATAGAGCAGAGAAATAGCATTGGGGATAACAACAGCAGCCTTCCCCACAATCTAGGAAAAGCCCCAGAATAGTCTNTTCCTGCAAATTCTCCAACATGCATCCCTTGGAGCTGCGGGAAAAACAGCGCGAGGAATGGCTGAAGTGCCACTTCAAGAGACGAAGAAAAAGACAAACTTAAGGTCCAATGCCTGGTTCTGCTCTTGGTAGGCGCTCCCCGGAGGACAGCAACAAAAGTAGCAACCAGAAGGGTCGGTCTTCTTCTTATTATTTTGTTTCAAAAGCTTCTTTCCTAGCGGTTCCCCAAAATTTTCGAGTGTATGAGGCGTATTGGTGAAATCATGACGCCGCGATAAATACCATAGTGCTTATTGATTGCTTCAGCAGGTGGCAGCACCTGACTGGCATGGTCTGCGCTGGGAAGCTAAACGGGAGCAGATTTGGTTAGCAGTTGGACAGGAGACCACTAAGCAACCCCGCGGTTCTGGCTAAAGTGGGAAGGCTGCCTGCCTTCACACAACGCTAGACAAAGGTGTTGGCAAAGAAAAGGAGCCAGATATGCCAGCTCCACCCTAATAAGTCTTTATTTTTCAACACTTCTCCTTATGTCCTTTATGTTCAGCAAAACAGCTTGTCTGTCCATTGCCTCCCTGACCTTCGTCTCCGCTGGGGGACCGCCAACGACCGTCCCAGGTTAGTGGTCATTGCCCTCCAATGTGGGAAAAACCATCCCAATAAAGGCTCCGCAGGACAGGCGGTGGTTGGGAGCCGCGTTGGGTCATATATATCCCGTGTCTCAGTTGGAAGTTCGTTTCAAATATGGGGGCTCAGGATCAGGGGAAAAGCTTTGCTAGGGTAGATCTCCTCAAAGGCCTTTGGAAAAAATCTTGGATTTCCCCCTACTTGGCGCCGGAGGCAAAGAAACGGAGCTAATAAGAGCGTAGCTTTGGGATGCCCCAAAGATCGGATCCTCCTTCACCGCTGTAGTTCCCTGGTCGACATCCTGTCTTAGTCTTGGCTTGCTTGAAACCAAGGGAGNAACCCTGCAAATTAACTTCAAGAGAAATGCAGCTAATATATTTTAAAGGTTTAATTCTAATACTGGGGCAGAATACCGCCTGCAGGTACCTCCTCTGTAAAAAAAAAAAAAGGGGGGGGGCAACAGACCAGAAACTAGCAGTGGAATCTTGGATTTTCTACATGGAAAAAAATGCTAAATTCAATAAAGGCTTATTCTTAGGCCCGTGTGTAGAGAGGACTTTTTTTAAAAAAATCTTCCTTTTTAGTAGTTGAAAATATAGGGGTGGACTGGAACATCTCAGGGAAAAGACAGTTTAGAGAAGTTTTGCTAAGGATTAATTTCTTCAGGAAATACTGTTACAGAAATAGGATTTTTATCCCCACCCTTCCATTAGCTTGCCTTGCGTTAGAAAGCAGAAACAATTATGGAAGGAGACAAAAGGGATTCCAGTAGGGAATTAAAAAAACATTCCAGCATCACCCTTGAGATGTTCAAGATGTTCAAGGAATGAAGAGATTTGCCCACAGTTAATATATCCAGGGAACAACTTCACTTGTAATTGATGCTGCTATCTCAACTGGTATTAAAGGCTCTATTCTATGATCTATTGAAAAATGAAGGCAGGAGTTCACTCTTCATTGAGTTTATGCAGAATTAAGTTTCATCCAACAAAGCATGATTGACTTTCTCTGTTCTCACAGTGTGTAGGGGGAACAGTTGTTAGCAGGTCATTGCTTATGGCATCTGTCTGAAGAGCTTTTGGAGAGAGAGGAGGAGAAACAGGAGGGAGACATTAGGTTGGAAATGTAGCTCGTGAAAAATTAAATGTATATGGTTTGCTTAAAACATTTCTCCCCAAATTCTCCAAGGATGGGCCACAAATGAAAATACAAATAGTCCCAAATATACTTCCTTGAAATTAAGCTTCATTGAGTTGTCACTGAGTTGTCCTAAATTGAAACTCTGCTTAGTTTACAGATTTGTATCTCAATTATTTCTGGCTGGAAGATGTTGGTAATAGCAGGTATGCAGCAAAATAAAATGCTGGCATAAAACTAAATTCTGCGGAAGTGTAGAAACTGTGCATCTTCACTCTTAGAATTAAGGAGTATTCATGGTCACTCAGAAGGAAGCAATGTTGGCTTTTTCTGTGACAGTATGAAACTTCAGTTAGACTTAAAAAAAACAGGATAGAAAGCATTGATGCTTTTGAACCTTAGAAGTAGAGAAGATTCCTGGGAATACCATGAATGACAAGAAAGAAAGAAAGAAAGAAAGAAAGAAAGAAAGAAAGAAAGAAAGAAAGAAAGAAAGAAAGAAAGAAAGATTCTTTCAGAATTCTTATTTGAAGCTTCAACTATCTTATTTTGGAGCATTGTGTGAAGATCTAGGTCTCTGGAGAAGTCTGTAATGCTGGGAAAGATAGAAGAAAACAGAAGAAAAGGAGAACCAAAAGCAAGGTGACTAGGCTTGATTACAGCAAAAATGGGTGCACTATTGGAAGATTTGAAGAGCCAGTTTGGAGACAAATCACTCCAGGGTGTTTACATGGTCAACCTCAACTTGGTGGCACATGTTCAATCGCAATCAATCAATCAATCAGTTGCAATGATGTATTCAGGGACTGACTGCTGATTCAATCTTGAGTAGGATCAGGTTACAAAACTGGTAGGTAGGAAGAGCTGCACTGAACTCAGGAAGAATTGCTTCAGACTAAAACCTATGAAGGGTGAAAAGAAACCAGCATCCTTCCATTCCCCTGTGGGCAGCAGGCCATTCTAAATTTACCAGAATGAAGTGTTTCACAACTTCAGAAAAATCCAGGGTATCCAAAGAAGTTGAACTAAGGAGGATGGGAGTGCAGCGGGGAGCAAGGCAGGGTGGGGAGGGAGAGACTCGCCAAGGCGAGAATTATGGTATGATGTCATTTTAACATGTTAACTAGGATTCCACCAAATAAATCATATGTATTTCCAGCCGCCCTTAAGCTACTTTCTTGCAAGCAGGGTCAACTGAAGTAAATGGAATGTAATTCTGCCTTAGTGGATTTAGGAATAAAGGAGTCGTGATCTCTGTTACACACACACACACACACACACACACACAGAGAGAGAGAGAGAGAGAGAGAGAACTTTTAAAGGAGCAGCCACAATGGTATTACAGCCAACGGCTGAATTTTAGATCCATGTATGAATAATCATGGTAATTCACCTGAGTGAAAACAGAGGACAGCCCAGCCTGCTTTCAAGTTGATGCCCTCCAGATGTGTTGGGACTACATGTACCAGAATTACCAACCCTGGGATTTTCTGGCTTAGAATTCTGGGATTTGCAGTCTCAACCAGGCCCCTTTCTGACCTTAAGAAAACCAGAAACGGAATGTCCATCGTGTCTTCCTCATCTCCTTATTCTTTTTGCACTCTACCCAATTTTGTTTCTCTGTTGTTTTTACTGTTTCCACAAATTCTATAGGATGTACATACATTTTCAAAAAATGCAGTTTATGCAAGATGTTTGTTTGGCTGCTAACCAAGATCATAGGCTGTCTCTTATTTTTTTACTCATCCCAAAATGATGTGTTGGTGTTAGGGCAGTTAGAAGTCTGTCTGAGGGACAGGCAGTTTTGTTATGAACTATCCTGACAATGCAACAGGAGAGACCTGTTTGAAGATTTGTCCCAATTCCTTCATTAAAGGCTCCAATATTAGGCATGAGTGGGAGGGGCCCTTCTGCATTGAGTTCAAGCATTGATATCTCATGTTATTTGGCTCTCTGGGTATTTACAAAATGAGACACATTTTTCCCAGGCTTTTAAGTATCAGTGTTTTAGTTTGTAATAGTTTGCATTGAGTTAAGTGCTTGTTTGAGCAGAAGGGCAGAGAATAAATGAAAATAAATAAAAGGCTTCATGAGATGTATCCACTGAATACAATAATTTAATAAAAAGGGAGCTTCCCACAAGACTGAAATTGCTCCAGTGAGTCTGTTTTAAGTCATTGCTTTTCTTGCCCTGAATGAAAATTTTAAATCCATCGGACCATTTCAAATATTGAACCCAAATTTAGATTATCCTCTCTGGGGCTAAATCTGGGGCCTGAGCCATTGGTCCCTCTATAAATACAAAATCTAAGAAAATCTAAATCCAGTTTCTGAGAATAGCAATAATCCAGTCCAATTATAGGATTTTTCTCTGGTGATATATATTGGCATTCCTTTCAGTGTTGTTCCTCAACTTCTTTATTTTAAAAAACCCCTCTTATTATTTTGGGTGGGGTTTTATTCTGAGATAATATGATG